TAATAACTTTGTCTGCTATTTGAGACAAGTCTGTCATCCTGTTACGAATATTAAGTCGAACTTTATTAGAGTGTTCTTTATCTACACGTTCAGCATTTGTCCTTGTAATTAGCCCTTGTCTTGTATCAAAGATCGAGTTTTATTGCTACGTTCTTTGCTTTTGTTATGAAAATGGAAAAGAAACAATCAAAGATGAACAAAAAGTATTAGAGTGGTATTTGAAATTGGCAGAGTCTGGAAATTCTATAGCACAAAATAGTCTTGTGTTGCTAGTCTGTTTGTTGAACTGTTATAAAAAGAACTGAGTTAATCTTCATCATCTGAAATCTGTAATAAAAATCAAGAATATTAATTGAATTCTCAACATCAATGACTGCCTATTCCAATCTTCAGTCATAAACTTACCTTACTTATTCAATAATAAAAATGGCATCTTCAAATCAAACTGCTGACATCATCCATGCCACTCAATGCAAATTGTGTTTCCATTGCTCAAAGCGCAAGACACTCAGTGAATTTGTTTGATTTTATAGAGATAATGAAAAAGAATGGTTAACATGTAATGATTGTTCAGAAAAGAAGAAAGGCAAAAGATCTAAATCTGATACAATGCAAGAATTTTTGAACCAATTCAAATATTATGTTGATGATACTGTTAATATGGAAGAAATCTGTGATGATGAAGATAATGTTTTGTATGAGCTTGTTGAACTAGAGGAGCTAGTAATTACATATTTTGCAATGTTGATGAGAACAAAGGAGTAAACTTTTCAGAGATCTTTGAACTTAATGATGAATTACTTAATCATTCACAAGTATTAACCAATGATCAAAGTAATACTGAAGAAGACAGAGTACATGATAATTTATTACTTTCTCTTATTAATCAAAGCTGGCTCTTGCTATTATTGGGAAATTAGGAAAATATATCTTCATAAAAAGAATTCTAAACAAGTAATAGTGTATTTTGGTTGCACTTAAAGAATAGATTAAAAGCTTGCATGTCCAGATAGTTGATTAGCAAAAAGAATAAGTAAAGCAAGATCTTTAATTAACTAATATGTATATAAAGGCAAGATTATAATTAACATTAATATTAATATATATTATATAAAAATAATAATTTGCTATTAAATAACTTATAAATATTTTACTTATCATGAAAGCAAAATCCTTAAATAAGTTATAGAGTGGATATCTAGTAATTTAAGATATAATCTTTGAAAAGTCAAAGTTTATAAGAGACTTTGTAAAGAATAATATATTAATTCAAAAATATAAGCTTCCATTTCATTTTCTTTAATAACTTGAAAAGGAGTAGTTGGTTCTTTTCTTCTATTAATTTTATATAATATGTCATCAATTTGTAAAAAGTGCTTTACTTGATTATAAATTTTGTATTATTCTTCAAGAGTTGATCCTACAGAATAAGTTTTATTGTTCAAATATCATTGTAAATTATAATAAGTTATTAAATTTATATTATTATTGTAAAGAAAAAAGTTATTTAATGATCTTCCAAATATATCTGGGATAATGCATCAGTATTTTGATTCTTTTTTTCAGGTTGATAAGTAATAATAAAGATATATTCCATAAGAGACATGATCCATCAATTTACTCTAGCAGAATGACTTGATTGATTCTTGAATAACTATTTCAAGACATTATGATCAGTAATTATTTCAAAAACTATTCCAAGTAGGTAGTGATAAAATTGTCTAATAGCCCATATTACTGCTAGTACTTCTTTTTTAGTTACTCTATATTTTTGTTCATTTGGTTTTAGGGTGACACTTGCGTAAGTGACTACTTGTTCTTTTCCATTTTTATCTTTTTGGGATAGGACAGTTCTAAGTTCTGAATTTGAAGTATTGGTATAAAGATAGAATTTTTTTGTAAAGTCAGAGTAAATTAGAATAGCTATAGTTGTAAGATATTATTTGATTTGTTAAAAAGCTTCTTCTTGATCTACAATTCAAATGAATAATTCCTTATTATGAAGTAATTTGAATAGAGATATAACAATTTGAGAAAATCTTTTAATAAATTTTCTATAATATTCTGCTAATTCAAGAAATGATCAGAGTTCTTTAATTGTTCTGGATTAAGGAAAGTCTTGTATTTTATGAATTGTTAATGGATCAGGAAAAATTCCTTCTTCTGTTATTATATGTCCAAGAAATGGTAATTTTCTTCTGCAAAAATTATACTTTTTAGGATTAAGTTTTAAATTGGCATTTCTGATTCTGCAAAATACTTTATTGAGATGATCTAAGTATTCTTCAAAATCTTTTGAAAATATATTCAAGTCATTAATATACACATTGAAAAATTTTAATTATATTCTTCTAGTACTATATCCATAGCATATTGAAAAATGACTGGAATATTGCATAATCTAAAAGGCATGATATTAAATTTAAATAGTTCTTCTCTGAAGATGAAAGTAATTTTGGATTTATTTTCTTCTTTCATTTTAATTTGTCAATATCTAGAGATTAAGTCTATAGATAAAAACCAGTGAGTATTTCCAAGAGAGTCTATCATTTCATCAATTCTTGATAATGGATATGTATCTTTTCAGGTGATTGCATTTATTTTTTAATAATCAATACAAAATCTTTTCTTTCTATTCTTTTTAGAAACTACAACAATAGGTGAAGTCCAAGAACTAGTTAATAGTTAGATAATATTGACTTTTAAAATTCTTTGAATTTCTTCTGATATGAATAATTGATCAGAACACTCTAATAAAGTTCGACTTAATATTCGTAACAGGATGACAGACTTGTCTCAAATAGCAGACAAAGTTATTA